GAAGACGACGACGACGTCGACGACAACGACGACGACGACGATGACTACGACGACGACGACGACGACGACGACGACGACGACGACGACGACGACGACCATGGCTCAAGGCCAAGGCTCAAGGCCATGGCGATCCCGACGACCGCGAGTCCTTGGGGCGCTGTCGAGCGCGAGGGACGCCGCCCTGGGCCAGCTTCTTGCTTTGTGCTTTCGATGCAGCGAGGCCAGGCGGAGCGCGCGGGGCCAGCAGCCATGTCGGGCGACGGAACAGCAACGCCGCCAACCTGGAGGCGTAGGGTGTACTGGGTCTGCTTATGCAAGGAGTGGAACTGGTGTGACAAGAGGGCGACCTGCAAGTCATGCGGGAAGGAGGCACCAGCGTGGGCGAAGCGCCTGCGCGCGGTGCACCTGCCCCAGGCCGACGGTGAGGGCTTCGTCCAGCAGCCCAGGGGGCGTTCGCACCAGCGTGCAGCGCGCCGAGCAGGCGACGCTTCCAGGACAGCCTCGGCCACCAGCACCGTGCCGAGCAGCGCGCCCAACAGCAGGGGGCGGCCGCGGGGCGGAGGCAAGCCGCCGCCTTGGCGTGAGGAGCGCGAGGAGCAGCCAGAGCCCGCGTCGTGTCTGGAGCGCAGGTTCGAAGAAGCCCAGGCTCGCATCTCCAGCCTCCGTGAGGCTGTCGCCATGGAGGGGACCAGCGAGGCCTTCCAGCGAGAGGCCAGGGCAGCCCTCCTCGCAGCGGAGGCTTCGGCCGAGAGGGCAGAGGCCGAGCTCCGCGAGGCCCAGCGGCTTGGGAGGCCCCCCCACGCCGTCCTCCACGGAGGCGCCAACGCCATGCAGAAGGCCGAGAAGCAGATCACTGCAACCAGAGCCAAGCGTGTGCAGGCCTTGCAGCGGGCTGACTCCCTCAGGGGGGAGATCGCGGCGATGCAGGAAGAGCTGGCCGATGCCGAGTCCGCGGTTGAGGACTTCGACAGCCAGCTCTCCAAGCTCGAGGAGTCGAAAGCTCAGACAGTCCAGCAGGCGCTCCAGCGGGCCAGCGAGGTGTGCGGAGGCCAGCAGCCCCTCGAGACAGCGGTCGGGGGCCTCGTCACCCAGGTCGGCCAGCTGGGTGAGATGCTCGGCCGCAACTCGGATGGTGTCGCGCCCAGGCTCCTGGAAATCATGGACATCATCACCACGCAGAGCGCGGCCATCTCGGACATGCTCCACCCCGCTGCGCCTGCTGCCGCGGCCTCGCGCTGGGCCGACGGCCTTGGCGGAGACGGGCTCGCCGTCGACGACGAGGAAGGCCCCCCCGCCCCAGCCGCGGGAGCCTCTGCCCCCTCGGTGCAGTGGGCGCCAGCGGAGGCCGCAGGGCAGCAGGTGCGGCCAGGCCTGCCCACCCAGCGGGCGAGCCCAGCAGTGGGGCCATACGGGCCAGCCGCCGCCCGCGGGCAGTCAGGCGCGGCGCTCGGCGCTTGGCCTCAGCCCGGCAAGGCCGAGCGCAGAATCCTTGAGGATGCCAGGGACGAGCGCGAGGATGGCCAGGCCTTGGCTACCCTTGCAGCTGCTGGGGGCTACGCTCCTATGGGCCCTCGTCGCTCCTAGCCGCTCGGCAGCAGCGACAGCCTGGGGGCCAGCGCCGCCGCCGCCGCCGTCAGACTGGCCGACCGCGCGCCAGGCGCGAGAGGAGCCACGGCGGCAAGGCGGCCCCGCTCCAGGGCCGAGGTGCGGTCGGGACCGCCGAGGCGTCCCCCCGACGGCCTCGCGCGGGCAGACGGCGGGTGGATTCAGCCCTCCGACGCCGCAGCCGTCTGCCCCGCCCCTTGGGGGTCGCGGAGCCACCGCTGGGCTCACGCCAGCCGCCCTTGAGGCGAGAGAGGGCGGGGCGGTGCCAGCTCGTGTGAGGGCTGCCGCGCAGCTCCGTGCGGGCGTTGACGTGCTGGACATCTACGGCATCACATGGGACCGTGCCATGGAGGGGCTCGAGGCCTACATCGTGCGGGAGGGCGCGCGCTCGCACCTCATCGCGGTCCAGGAGGGCCCCCTTGGGCCCCGCCAGCAGGGGAATGCTAGCCGCCGAGCCCGCGGCTTGGGATACGCGGCCTCCTTGCATGATGCGGCGCCCTCCGGACAGACGGCCCCTGCCCACTCAGGGGGCGTCGGAGTACTTGCTCGTGAGGACCTTCAGGCGCGTGAAGCTCAGTGGCGAGTGCCAGAGGACTTCAAGCACCACATGATCGCCGAGGACCTTTTCCACAAGGCTGGACCTACGTCCAGCGCGATCTGGGCACGCACGGTTACTGCGGCCCAGCGGAGGGACTCGGCCTCGCCAGCGCTGATGTGGAACGCCGAGCGGGTTCGCGCCCTCGGAGAGGCAGCAGGGGAGGACGTTGCTCGGAGCTGGTTGTCAGCGCCGCCGCCTCCTCAAGGGCCTCGCACGGACGCCATGAGTCTCTGGAGGACATGCAGGCCGCCCGACGTTACGCCCAATGGCAGGTTGTACGAGGGCTCATCGGTTGACCTGCAGTTCTGCGCCTCGGGACACGCAAGCTGGGCGATTGCTCAAGGCGACGACGACGGCAGCCTCATCGCGGGCGTCCAAGGGACCGTCAGGAGGGTCCTCCTTCCACAGCAGGCGGCGCGCGGCGATGAGGATTTTGCGGCCTGGAAGAAGGTGCACTACGCGGGCCTTGCAGTCGAGGAGGCCCGCATCGACTGCCACGGCACGGCCGAGGGCCCGCGCAGGGAGCTGGCCTACGCGGCGTGCCGGACCGTGGCCAACGCCCACCTCTGGAGCAGGAGCCACGCCGCCCCCGAGCCTGGCGGATCCAGGGTGAACAAGGTGGCCGCCCTCGGCAGCAGGCAGGCGGAGCCCGACGGGCGACTCACGGAGGCGCAGAGGCGAAGCACCCTGCACGCTTGCCGCTCCGCCAAGCTGGGAGCACGGCTGCACGCCGAGGACGCCCAGACCGTGGGCGCACACTGCGCCTTGGCGGGCTCCGCCCAGGAGCAGGCCCGCTGGGTGGGCCAGGCAGCAGTCTGCGGACAGCACTTCGCGGAGAAGGACAGTTACTGCTTCCTCGAGTCCGACGAGAGGCGGCATGTGCCGTTCGCCAACCATGAGGAGCGGATCGAGCTGCCGCCCCTTGCAGGCCGACGGCGCGGCAGCCGCGAGCAGAGTGCGTCCGCTCGGAGGCCTGCGCGGGCGGCCTCTCCATCACCGCGGCGGGCATCCGCCGCCGCGGCCACTCCCTGGCACACGCGCGCTTCGGCGCAGGCGGGGAGTCCCAGGAGCTGGAGGCGCGCGGCAAGTGCAGCGCCTTCATGGCCCTCGGCGGCCAAGCTGGGGGCTGCCCAAAGCTCAAGGAGCAGCGCATCGGCGAGTGGGCTACGGGGCAGCGCAGCCAGCGCCGCCGTCGGGTTCGAGGGCGGCACCCAAGGAGTCAACGGCGCGGAGGTGTTCTGCAGCGCACGGAGGAAGGCGCTGGGATCGCCGCGTACGGCATGCACGTGCTGGACCTCGCCGAGCGGGTGCTGCCCGCCTACGCAGCCGTGTTGGGACGCCGCGTCCGCCCTCGGCGCGGCCGCGGCCCGCGCCCCGGCGGCGCGCTCGGGCGTGTAGGCAGCCCGCCTGGAGTCGCCTTCATGGCCCCGCGAATCGAATCGAATCGACGACGACCACGACGACCACGACCACGACCACGACCACGACGACGACGACGACGACGACGACGACGACGACGACGACGACGACGACGGCGACGGCGACGGCGACGGCGACGGCGACGGCGACGGCGACGACGACGATGGCGGCGGCGGCGGCGGCGACGACGACGTGACGCCCTTTCAGGCCACGAGCTCTGACCACGAGCTCTGGCGCGTCCGAAACCCTGCGGACCTGCACTCACCTCGGGGGCTTCCCCTCTTCCTCTCCCTCCTCATTCTTCTACTCCTCCTCCTCCTCCTCCTCCTCCTCCTCCTCCTCTTCCTCCTCCTCCCCCTCCTCCTCTCCTCCTCCTCTCCTCCTCCTCCTCCTCCCTCCTCCCCCTCCTCCCCTCCTCCTCCTCCTCCTCCTCCTCCTCCTCCTCCTCCTCGTCCTCCTCCTCCTCCTCCTCCCCTCATCCCCCTCCTGCCCCCTTCCCTTCCTCGCCCTCTTGCTCCAGTTATGCATCTCCCCGTGTCCGCCCTGCCCGTTCCCCCTCTCCGCCCTCCTCTGCATCACCTGCGCCGCATGCGGTGCAAATTGCTTCGTAGATCGCCATGCCGTCTACGGCCTCGCCGCGGAAGCTGCCGTCGCTGCAGTAACGGGCCGACGAGGAGGATAGGGGGGATAAGGGGGAGACAGAGGACAAACAGGGGGAGGTGGATGGGAGGGGGGCGAGGGAGAGGACGAGAAGGACCAGGAGGAGTCGGAGGATGAGGATGGAGGATGGGAAAGGGAGTGGAGTGGTAGGGGGAGAGTAGGGGAGATGTTCATTCGGCCTGCTGGAACCCGCGTTGTCGCTGACGTCGGTCGTAGGCATTCGCGTTGACGCTGACGTCGCTGACGTTGTCGCTGACGTCAGTCGCAGGCGTTCGCGTTGTCGCTACTGATCTCGCTGACGTAGGCGTTCGTGTTGTCGCTGACGTCGCTGCCATTGCTGGAACCCGCGTTGTCGCTGATGTCGGCGCCCCTCCCACACACGGCCACACACGAGGGACGCCGCGCTCCCTCACCCTGAGCCCCGGTGCCAAGACCCCCGTGTGGATCATCACCTCGTACCAGTTGTCCCTATGGCACCCCGCCCTCACCCTCTCCTCCTCTTCCTTCTCACCCACTCCTCCTCCTCGTCTTTCTCCTCCTCCTCCTCCTCCTCCTCCTCCTCCACCTCCTCCTCCGCCTCCGCCTCCGCCTCCCCCTCCTCCTCCTCCTCCTCCTCCTCCTCCTCCTCCTCTTCCTTATCCCGGACCCCTCATCCCCCTCCTGCCCCCTTCCCGTCCTCGCCCTCTTTGCCTGTCCCCCCTCTTTGCCCTCCTCTCCATCACCTGCGCCGCATGCGGTGCAACTTGCTTCGTAGATCGGTCCCGTCCACGGCCTCGCCGCGGAAGCTGCCGTCGCTGTAGTCTGGGCCCCTTGGAGCCCTTCTTCGTCTTCTTCGTATCGTCATGCCGTCCACGGCATCGCCGCGAAAGCTGCCGTCGCTGTAGTCTGGGCCCCTTGGAGCCCTTCTTCGTCTTCTTCGCATCGCCATGCCGTCCACGGCCTCGCCGCGGAAGCTGCCGTCGCTGTAGTCTGGGCCCCTTGGAGTCCTTCTTCGTCTTCTTCGTATCGTCATGCCCGTCCGCGGCCTCGCCGCGGAAGCTGCCGTCGCTGTGGACTTGGCCCCTCGGAGCCCTTCTTCGTCTTCGTAGATCGTCGTGCCGTCCACGGCCTTGCCGCGGAAGCTGCCGTCGCTGTAGTCTTGGCCCCGTAGAGCCTCCTGGAGGGACGAGGGGGGGGCGAAAGCTAAGGGGCGAGGGGAAAGACGGGGGGGGCGAGCATAAGGACGAGGGACAGGATGAGGTAGAACACGAGGAGGAGGTAAGAGAGGTAAGAGAGGGTGGAGGACGAATAGGAGGAGGACGAATAGAAGGAGGGAAGAGAGGGTGGAGTAGGGGGAAGAGGAGGACGAGGAGGGTAAGACTGGGGGATCGCCGACGCGCTCCTCGGACGCGTTGACATCCGCGGCCGCGCTGCCCCTGACCTCGTCGCCGTCGGTCGGCGCCTGGCCGCGGGGGGCGAGGGGGGGGGCGCAGAGGAGGAGGAGGAGGGGGAGGAGAAGAAGGAGGAGGAGGAGGAGGAGGGGGGGCAGCAGGAGGAGGAGAGGGTGAGAAGGAGGGCGAGCGAGCAGGAGGGCGAGGGCGAGGAGAAGGGGAGGGCGAGGAGAAGGGGAGGGTGAGCAGGAGGTTGAGCAGAAAGGCGAGGGCCAGGAGGCGAGGGCTAGGTTGGACCTTCTTCCGGCGGGACCGGAGGAGCTCAGTTGCGTCAGCGTCCCCGCCGAAAGCCTACAGCAATGCTTCAACTCTCAACTGTGTACAAGCCTCACACCGCACAAACCCTGGGCCATCTCGCAATCGATCGGTCTGAGGGTCCCGCGCCGGGGGTGTCCAGGGCACCGCCATCATGAGGCGACTGAACCGATGATCCCTGCAGAAGGACTGCCAGCACGGGGTGCAGTAGACGTCGCCTGGGATCCAGTGCCACCCGTCCCACTTGAAGACGTGCCTCACCATTGGTGAGGATGCGCATCCGACGCACCCCCTACGCTGCTTGCAGTGCGGATTGCCCGCAAGCGGCTCCTCCAGAGGCCCCTCCTGCGGGTTCTCCGACTCCGCGCTGTCGAGCTCCCACGCCGCGGCATCCGCCTCCATCGCGTACTCCTCTTCCTCGGCCTCCTCTTTGACGAGCTGATGGTCGTCCTGTGGGTCCTCATCTTTCACGATGTCGTCCGTCATGAGCTCCCACGCCGCGGCATCCGCCTCCATCGCGTACTCCTCTTCCTCGGCCTCCTCTTTGACGAGCTGATGGTCGTCCTGTGGGTCCTCATCTTTCACGATGTCGTCCTTCATGAGCTCCCACGCCGCGGCATCCGCCTCCATCGCGTACTCCTCTTCCTCGGCCTCCTCTTTGACGAGCTGATGGTCGTCCTGTGGGTCCTCATCTTTCACGATGTCGTCCTCTGAGACCTCTTCGTCGGCCTCCTCTTCGACGAGCTGATGGCCATCTTCCGGGCCCTCGACGACGTCGGCCTCTGGGACCTTTGCATCGGGCGGGCCGATGATGATGCCCTCCACGTCGGGCCTGGCCTCCTGGAGCAGGTGCCAGCACTCGAAGCAGTATATTGGGCCGTCGGTGTAGTTTGCCTCGAGCCCCCCGCTGGTCATGATGATCTCGTGTAACACCCGCCTGACGACGCCGTCGGCGCCACGGGCGCACTGCCACTGCGCCGCCCCGCCGTGCCACAAGCGCACTGGCACTGCCGAGCGCCTCGCCGTCCGCGCCGCCGATGCCGGCGCCTGGCCACTGACGTCGCCGTCGCACTTCGCCTCCGTGGGGGACTTGAGGAGGTGCGCAGGCGGCGGACATGCTGGCTGCTTCGGCCCGCCGATGCGGCGACGCCGCCACGCGCCGTCCTCCCGACGCGAACGCCTGGGGGGCGTCACAGGCGCGGGTCCCTGGAGCTCGGGCGTCTGCTGAAACTGGAGCCAGAGCTCGGGCGGCAGCATCTTGGACGACGGCCGCTGCTTGGGCGTCGCCCGGATCTGGAGCCGGGGCTTCTTGAACGGCGGCCGCGCCTTGGGCATGGCCATGTCGCCAGGAGGTGAGCGCGAGCGCCTGGGCGAGGGCATGATTGGCAGAGCAGCGGCGGGCCACGCTCGGCACAAAATGGGGACAGACGGGCAGTGGCGTCGTCGTTGTCGTCGTCGTCCTCGTCCCCTGCCTCCTTCCTTCTCGTTCCTACCCCCATCATTTCATTGCTGCGTTGGGCATCGTTCGAGGAGGGGCTCAAGGGAATGCGCGAAGCGTCGAACATCAGGTGCATCGCTCGGCGATCACACCCTCCCCCTTCTCCTCCCCCTCCTCCGCCTCCCCATCCTCGCCCTCCTTCGCGTCTTGGGGCTTCAGGGGCTGTGGCAGACGATGGCCTCAAGGAAATACAAGCAAATAAAAATCTGTCCTTCTTGTAGCCTTCTTGGGGCCCTCTTGATGCCGTCTTTGGGCCATCTTAGTCCTCTGAGGGGGCCCCCTGACGACGACGACGACGGCCGACGACGACGGCGACGACGACGACGACGACGACGACGGCGACGACGACCACTACGACGACGGCGACGGCAACGACGACGGCCACGGCGACGGCGACGGCGACGGCGATTGCGACCGCGACTGCAACGACGACGGCGGCGGCGGCGACGACGACAACGACGACGGCGACGAGACGACGTCGGCGGCGGCGACAACGACGACGACGAACAAGAGGATACCGCACAGACAGAGTTTTGCTACCAGTGCCTCGCGCGCCGCCGCATGCGCGTGTTCCTCTGCTCTTATTGAGCGGGGCTGCCTCGAGGAGTGCTCTCAGGAGTGTGGGGGGGATTGTGAGGACTGGGGTTTAGGAGGACTGGATGCGAAGAGGAGGAGGGCTGGGGGTGGGAGAGGTCAGAGATGGATGGAGAAGGGTGGTGGAGAACTGCGAGCGCACTGGAGCGCGACCAAAAGGCGCCCAAAGAGAGCAGCTTGCTCATGCGTATGCGGCGGCATGCATGGTTACCACGCCACTGTCACCAGCCTCTACCCCGGCCGCGCTGATCTCCGCGGTCGTCCGCAAACGCCCAGGGGCCGCCCCTGCCGTTGCCTTGCGACCCGTCTTCCGTGCCGTCGTCGCCGCCGTTGCCGCCCCTCTGCCAAGCCTCGCCCCAGCCGCCACCTTGCGTGCCGCCGTCGGCTTGCCACTGCTCCCAAGCCCCGCCCCCGCCGCCGCCTTGCGCGCCGCTGTCGGCGCCCAACGGAGCGCCGTGGCCCAGGCCGCCGCTGCTGTCGCAGCCATGCGCGCCGCCATCGACGCCGACCGGCAGGCCGACGCTGCCGAAATAATCCTGAGTCATGCCGCCGGCGCCGCCCATGCCGCCGCCATCCGCCGCCATGCCGCCGCCATGCGAAACCGCCGCCGCCATGCCGTCGCCATGCGAAGCCGCCGATGCTGCGAGCCGTGGGTCCGCGCCCGACCCGTTCAGCTTGCCGATCAGAGCGTCCAGCTTCACCGACAGCTCGGTCTCCGTGTCGATCAGTCTGTTCATCCTCGTTGGGGTGTGAGCGCCCAGCTTGTCGATCAGAGCGCCCACCTTCCCGATCAGCTCGGCCTGAGTCGTGGCCACCTGGGTATGAGTGTTCACCAGGCTGGTGAAAGCGCCCCTGTGCTTCTCGACCAGCTCGGCCACCCTCACAACCATGTCGTTCTGCTTCTCGATCAGAGCTTCCATCTGCCTGTCGCGCTTCTCGACCAGCTCGCCCAAAGAGACAACGAGCTGGTTCTGCTTCTCGATCAGAGCTGCCATCTGCCTGTCGGACGACGCCGCAGCTGCTGGCGCCGCCGCCGCCGCCGCAGCTGCTGGCGTCCGCGTCGCCTGTGACTGCGGCGCTGGGAGCGCCAGCTGCGGTCTGGCAGCGCCAGCGGCGGCAGGACCATCATCGTCTTCTTGCGACGGTGGGCCCCCGTAGAACTCGTGGGCAATGACCTTGACGATCTTGATCTTTACCCACTTCTCCCAATACGCCATGTAGGAACGGTCTGGTGGAAATCCGTTTCCAATGCGAGCTTGATGACCTGAGCTGGCAAGGTGACCTGCCGTCACCTGGTTTCCACGCAGCTCGCACTGCCAGTACTTTCCCTTAGTCTTCGTCTCGTAGAACTTGTGCCATGGAGCATCTCTCCGCTCTCCGCCGCGGAGCTCGATGATCTCTGGGCAGGTGTCTGGAGACGCCCAGTCGCGCGCCGACATCGCACCGGTACGCTCTCCAGAGAAGCGATGCACCTCAAATGGGGCCACAAAAGCTACGGAGGAGGAGGGGGAGGTGGGGCTCGGGCCTCCATGGTGGCTCCTGGGGGCCTCTTGGGGGCCTCTGGCCCGAATCGTCGTATGTCGTCGTTGTCTGTCCTTGTCTGTCGTCGTCGTCGTCGTCGTCGTCGTCGTCGTCGACGTCGTCGCCGTCGTCGTCGTCGTCGTCGTCGTCTTGGTCGACGTGCTCGTCGTCATATCGTACACGCGAGCGCCCCGCGAGCGCCCCTGCAACACACACACACACGCACTTACACGCACACACACACACACTTACACCTACACACACACCGCCAAGCCTTGTCCCTCCTTCCTGTTCTCCCACCCCATTCTCTCCCTCCTCCCTCCTCCCTCACTCATACGTCCTTCGTCGTCGTAACATCGCAGCCTCGACGAAGCTGCCGCTCCAGAACTCGCTGCCGCTCAAGAACTCGCAGCTTCTCCTCTGGCGGCGACGGCGACGGCGACGGCGACGGCGACGGCGACGGCGACGGCGCCATCGCCGCCGCCGCCGCCGCCGCCGCCGCCGCCGCCGCCGGCGGCGTAATTTATGTAATTTATGTTTGGGGCTTCTGGCAATCTCGCCAATTTGCCGGACCCCCGCGATCCCTTGTAAAAAAACACTATATCCTCACGTCCTGGCAATCTCGCCAATTTGCCGGAACCCCCAAATGGCCCCGACAAAAATTACAAAAATTGAAAACACACAAATTATTGTAAATCGGTGTGCGTGTGCGTGTGCGTGTGCGTGTGCGTGTGCGTGTGCGTGTGCGTGTGCGTGTGCGTGTGCGTGTGCGTGTGCGTGTGCGTGTGCGTGTGCGTGTGCGTGTGCGTGTGCGTGTGCGTGTGCGTGTGCGTGTGCGTGTGCGTGTGCGTGTGCGTGTGCGTGTGCGTGTGCGCGTGCGCGTGCGCGCGTGTGCGTGTGCGTGTGCGTGTGCGTGTGTGTGTGTGTGCGTGTGTGTGTGTGTGTGTAAGTGTAAGTGTAAGTGTAAGTGTAAGTGTAAGTGTGTGTCTGTGTGTAAGTGTAAGTGTGTGTGTGTGTGCGCGTGTAAGTGCGTGCGTGTGTGTGTTGCAGGGACGCTCGCGTGTTACGATATGACGACGAGCACGTCGACCAAGACGACGACTACGACGACGACGACGACGGCGACGACGTCGACGACGACGACGACGACGACGACAACGACGACGACGACGACGTCGACGACGACGACGACGACGACGGCGACGACGACGACGACGGCGGCGACGTCGACGACGACGACGACGACGACGACGACGACGACGACGACGACGACGACGACGACGACGACGTCGACGTGACGCCCGTTCATGCCACGAGCTCTGGCCACGAGCTCTGGCGCGTCCGAAACCCTGCGGACCTTCCCTCACCTCGGGGGCTTCTCCTCCTCCTCCTCCCTCCTCCTCCTCCTCCTCATCCTCTTTCGGCTCCATTCCGCCTCGTCCTCCTCCTACTGCTCCCCTCATCCACTCTCTCCTCCTCCTCCTCCTCCTCCTCCTCCTCCTCCTCCTCCTCCTCTTCCCCTCATCCCCCTCCTGCCCCCTTCCCGTCCTCGCCCTCTTGCTCCAGTTATGCGTCTCCCCGCGCCCGCCCTGCCCGTTCCCCCTCTCCGCCCTCCTCTGCATCACCTGCGCCGCATGCGGTGCAAATTGCTTCGTAGATCGTCATGCCGTCTACGGCCTCGCCGCGGAAGCTGCCGTCGCTGTAGCAACGGGCCGACGAGGAGGATAGGGGGGGGAAGGGGGAGACAGAGGACAACAGGAGGAGGTGGATGGGTGGGGGGCGAGGGAAAGGACGAGGAGGAGCAGGAGGAGTCGGAGGATGAGGATGGAATGGAGGATGGGAAAGGGAGTGGAGTGGTAGGGGGAGAGTAGGGGAGATTGTTTATTCGGCCTGCTGGAACCCGCGTTGTCGCTGACGTCAGTCGTAGGCATTCGCGTTGTCGCTGACGTCGCTGACGTCGTTGTCGCTGACATCAGTCGTAGGCGTTCGAGTTGTCGCTGCTGATCTCGCTGACATAGAGGCGTTCGAGTCGTCGCTGACGTCGCGGTCATTGCTGGAACCCGTGAACGGCCACACACGAGGGATGCCGCGCTCCCTCACCCTGAGCCCCGGCGCCAAGACCCCCGCGTGGATCATCACCCCGTACCAGTTGTACCTATATTCCGAATATAGGCACAATATCATATTCGGCACCGATATAATATTGGGCATAATATAATATTCGGCACCGAATATAGGCACACTACAATATAATATCACCTCGTGCCGAATATAATATTCGGCACCGATTGGGCTCGCCCCTAGAGGTCCACGAGGTGGAAATAATAACCTGAAACCCCGTTTCGCGCCCACGGGTACTTGTAAGGGCGCCCATCCTCTGCCGCGAAGTCTGGCCAGAGCAGCGCTAGCATTTTCGCGTCCTCGCGCCGATAATCGTCGTGAAATGCGAGGGCCCAGCACTCCGGGACGTGGGGCCGAACAGATTGCCAGGGAAAGAACCAACAGCGTGCTTGTTGGGCCGGCAACGGCATCTCGATATAGTCGGGGGCCCATCGCGGCAGGGGGTCTTCCTGAGGGTACGGCAAGGGCCGCGGTGCCGCAGGCCCTTCAATGAGGGCGTTTCTATTGGGGAGGTCCAGTCCGAGGTGTGGAGCTGTAAGGTGGTATAGCTCCGGCCTCTGTTCCTCGTCGTCGGACGAAATCGACATCTCTGAGCCGCAAAAGCGCT